AGTTGTCCGTAGCTTCAGTGTTCTAATTGAGTCAATTAATAGGTCATCGTATGTGTCATGCTCATGTATCGTACCTCCCAGTGCGTCGGAGCAAGCATGTCGCCTGAGGCGACGTTCTCACCCTGTGTGACATCTGCTGCAGCGCTCATCCTGTATTTCTTGACGAGAACATAGTTGAAGAAGTGGACTTCGGCGGAGAAAAAATGAAGCTGTTCACCCCTCTTTGCTTGGCCTTGGCCCCAGCTTGCATCGCATGGTGCGTGCTACTGTATCATCAGTTCGTGGTTTCAAGGGTTCTGGGCGCTAGGGACCGGGGAGGAGCGGATGCGGTCCACTTGATGAAGGGTTTTTGAGCGGGAATGGGAATTGGCCCGTGGGAGGTTTCATGCGAAGGCCTTCGGGGAGGATCATGACCTGATTTTGGTAGTCGCTAAAATGCGCAACATGAGGAGCAGTAAATGGACATCGCAATATGCATCGGCGCTCTCACGTATCAACACTTACGACGTCTTCGATAACAAAGTAACGCCCAGCCTGTACCGTTTTATTTTTAAATTTACCCCAGAACACCAAAAGTGTCTGGTAAGAGATGCAGCAGTACAGTCCTCCGTGTAGTTTACTGTCCCCGAGACATCTATCTTGGCATCGACTTTGAGATTCACGAAAACGCTAGCAAAGATTACAATTGACAAAAGAATCCTTCAAATTTCCAATTAAAAGATAAGTTCAATGCAAGAATAAAATATAATTCAGTATCTACCATTAGGTGCAACCTCCACAAAAGTGACCATGTCGTTCCAAGCCAACGCCCCGTCTTCCCCAAAGTACTGAGGTCAATCTGAATCTGAACTATCAACTTCCTTCATAGTCTCACTCCATCTACGACCGTGATGAATGATCGACTCGTCAATGACGAGCTCCGGAACAACGTGGCCATAACGATCATACCATTCATCACCTCCCACGTACTTCCATGCAATTACCATCCCGTACTGAGAATCAACAACCTTGTCAAAGTCAATGTCCAACTTCTCTAGACGAGGCTCAATTTCAGGAATCTCCTTCTTGAAGGCAGCTCCTCCAAACTCATGATCTTCCCGCAGCTGGTCGCGAGTCATGGTAATTACTTCCAGGTTAGGGACATCACCCCAAGAACCAGAATTCTTCGTAGAAGGGTCTACTGGATGGGGGAACCAACAGTCCCCTGAGCGGGTCAGGAGAAGCAAGCTCATCCCTGGCGGGCACGGTATCTTCATCGATACACAGTCGTCATACTCCTCCACAGCTCCTGATGCCACTTTATCTGTGACTGGCAGCTGGAGGTATCTCTCATATGCATCAATTTGTTGCTTTGCCCAGCGACTGCTGGGGTCATCATTGTTGACGGCCTCCCCCCTTAACATCTGCTTAAGCACATCATTAGTGACAAACTCCTCAGGAAACTGTAGTTCGAGACGAGGTTGCTCGCTAACACCTTGCTCCTCCTCGATAGACTGCTCTTCCTTAACAGACTCTTCCTCCTTGATAGACTGCTCGTCCTCGATAGACTGAGGGCTAGCCATAACATCGTCATGAGCACGATGCCTTAGCTCGTCGACAATAAGGTCCTTGAATGCCTGTCCGAGGCTCATGAAGAAGTCATAAGCGTCGAAAGGGACGAAGCACAGTTCAGTAAAAGGAATGTCGAATCTGAGATCTGTCATCATCTCCCTGCGCTTTTCTCTCGCCAACCGAGGTTTGCGATGCCCTGCCCCTTCAATCTTCTCAAGCTCCTCTTCAACACAAAACTTGATCAATACCTCGATTTCTCCCACTCTCCAGTAAAACTGGAATTCGTCGAGCCGATCCCTGCTTTCTGAAATGCAATCGTAGGAAAAGCTGCGGATGTCTTCCATGATAGCACCGCAATGAATTCCAAGCTGCTCTGTCGTATAATTGTCTACATTATTCGCAAGATCAATGATACGAAGCCTGAGGCTCTGTAGACGACCTTGCATCGCTCGATGCTTGACTTCTTTCCAGTCTGGATTCATAATGACGGTCAGGAATAGACTTAGCTATAATCTTTGTTGGAGAAAAGGATCGGAAGCTTGAAGATGCGGTTGAATAGCCAATAGTGCGAAATCAATATGGACGACATCAATACGGGCCAGTATCGTATTTAAAGGCCTGAGACCAATGAGTTGTCCGAGTCCTTGTTCGAGAGTTCATGTCGTCTTTGTACCAGTTCAGCATTATTTGTATTGAACGGTCTCTTTACAACAAAGAATGTGTCCCAGTGGTGGAGCTATGTCTGAACAACAGGATGATTCCATGTCGCAACGTGAAAAATAGGGAAACAGCGGCCACTCTACTCTGCACTGCACATGATGGGAGTCCTAGTAAATATAGGAACAAAGACCCAAAAGATTAAACAAAAGCAGCAGAAGAGAATTCTTCAACAAACTTGGTTGTTCCAGGGCGTAAAGCAAGTTGATCTTGTGCAGAACCTCTCATTTTGCCCATCATGACACGATCAGATAGTTCTGCCAGTGACGTAGAGGTCAGTATCATTTCCAATGTCAGATATCCACACGAATAATTTTAACTGAGGTCACAGACTAAGGTGAGGGCATGTAAACAGTTGCGTTGTGATTTGATATGCCTGACAGAGAAGATATTCTTCCTGTTGCAGGTCTCGACTGAGCTCATCTTGCTAAAAGGGTTGAGGCTGAAACACCATCGCTGGTTAAAAGGCCCAATTGTCAGAAAAGACCAGAATCACATTGCTAATGCTGATGGTAGACTAAACTCAGATCGCAGCAAGAACATGTAGGTTGGTAATTGTCGCTTCTACGACCGGCCAACGTCTCATCTCCTGGTGATCAAAATCGCACCTGAAATGAACACGCTGAATAAACTCCTTTCCTGATTGGTTTCCTGCTTAGTTTCACAAAACCTCCCACGTCCAATGGTCGAAGCACCACTCCCCCTGCTGATGAGTGAGCCAGATACACACAGGTAGATCATGATGGACTTACTGTTATCGTAAGGACACAATACCGCTTAGACTGATACATCTGATCCGGATACATGTTCAGATAACCCAATAGTGGCATTTCTCTAGGCTGTTGAGGGACGGTACTGGGTGCCGACGAGGGCCTCCACAGCCCGACCACCAAAGGTCTCAAATGGTTCGAATGCCACCTTTCCCACCGTGATGGTGGGGAACACGAAGTCGTCCATAGGGCGTGTTGGAAACTTGAAGCACTCCAAGAGCTGCGATGGGAGATCAACCTTGTAAACATAGGCATTTTCCGCTTCGTCTCTGTGGGTGATGAGGAGTCGCACCTGGAACATACTGTGTTAGTAAGAGCGTCGATCAATGAGGAGGGAGTTGTCAACTTACGATGTATAGGCGCGGCTGCCCAGTGTTGTCTGATCTCGCTTGTAGCTGAGCCAAGCTCAGCAGAATGCAAACAAGATAGGGATCTCGTGTCCAGTCTTCTGGAGTGACTCTCGCGAGTTTGCGCTGGTATAGGCTCTGCATCGCAAGGTTCAAGGTTCCGGGAGGGCCAGCCCGAGGTGTGAATCGCGCACGACGTATCTCATCCGCCTTGTAAGAGTAATAGCCGACTACCGGTTCCGGATGCGGGACGTCGATATGCCCTGCGATTCGGAAAGCGCTTACTTCCGGGACATGGACCAATCGGCCGGCATAATAAAAAGCCGCCGAAGCACTACGAAATGTTAGTAAAAGCGACGCTGTCGAAGTGTATGTGACATACAGGACAAACTCTAAAACTCCTGTTCCTCTGAACAGTGATCGGATGTAGTGAGCTTTCATGTTTTCGACTGGTGTTGTCGCGAGTCGGGTAGCGTAGTAAGTCAACCGCCCATCTTGTCGGGCATGCTGACCTTGGCTGTCATTGGCAACTTCGATCTCCAGGAACTGGCAGCCTACCAGCTCGAGATGCTCGTTAGTCCAGAATAAGGGAGTCGCCTGGAAACGCCCGTTGTCCACACTTAGTTCGTGAAGTGACTTGTTCGCCAGTGACTTGTTCGCCGACTCAGGCATATTGATGCCGATGGTGATATCGTGTAGTAATCGTGAGAAGGGTTAAGAGATTTAACAGAGATATAGTGAGATAAAGCGCTGTGTGCAGAGATGAGCAGATCAGAGGATGAGAGGGACGGAAGTGAATGAGAGAAGAAGAGATGAGAGAGTATTGGAGTAGAAGAGAGCTGTTGACATTAGAAAAGTCCTGCCAGTGTTGATCTGGGCATGCATGGACTGACACTGGCAGTACAGTGGCAGAGTAAGGGACCAGTTACCGCTGCACCAAGACCAGGCGGGTCCTGTTGAGGGAACAATAGACCCAAGACCGAGCCGTTTGCTCAAGGACTTTGTGGACTTGCCTGGCCCTTAGCCACTGGCTCGGCCAAGGACTTACAAAGAGTGAATTACGCAGTGCTGGTGGTGAAGACATCGTGAACCGACCCAAGTCGCATAGTCGACCGTTCAACCAAGGCATCCGTATTGTCCACTGCGCTCACCCTGTCATGAACACTCATTGAACTTTCTCACTGTACGTCTGCCAATCATCGTGGACCATAAGAACAGCCCGTATATGATCCCTTGTGCCAGTGGATCGTGTACCCGTGTATGAACAACCCCCCCATCTTGTTTGTCACCCTTTGCCAAACCTTTTTGCTCAGCAAACAAGAACCACGCAATTCCTCTTGTTACTGAAAAGTGAAACGGCACAGACAAGAAATTATCTCCTTGCCATCGAACATTTATACTTTATGGGAAGGGTTGGTAAGCCAGTAAGAAGAGGTATTGTCAACAAACTTTCATTTCTGAAAGTTTATCTGCTAATCTTTTATCATAGGCTTCTTGAGTCACACCGCTGAAACTTGCTACCCCAAAATCGATATATTACAAACTGTCCCCTACCATCTCTCCCATCCACTTGGCTTTTGTAATACCTACGCTGAAGATCATCAACACAAAGACAATGGATCAAATCACAAATCCCAAGGATCTGGATCGACCGTCAACCAAGAGGTAAGCTACGCGGAAACTTCGTCCGAACCAAGCTGACAGCCACGCAGTATCGCGAAATCGAAGGTTTCCACCTTCATCGTTGGTCCTGACAAAACTGAGTTTACCATCCACGCGGCCCTTGTTGCCAAGCAGTCACCCGTCCTGAACGTCCTTGTCAACGGGCCTTTCAAGGAAGCATTGGAACAATGCGTCGAATGGATCGACCTCCAGGAAGACGTGTTCTTGAGCTTCTGGGAGTTTGCATACACCGGCAACTACACGAACCCCGTCCAAGAAAATGGCTATGAGGAGGACAGAGATCCTGCCGAAGAAGAGCTGAGCCACTGGGGCAAGTTTTGGGCGAACTACGTCCGCCTCCAACCAGGACTCTCTAACACCAACAGTCGCGATACACCCCGACTAAATCGTTTGTGGCAAGTATTTGCTTACAAGTACGCCCCCATCTCTCAGCCGCCTGATGCAGGGAACATCGGTGCAGATACACTGCTACATCATGCCTAAGTGTGCATCTTTGCAGATCGCTACTGCATGGACTCGTTGACGGATGTTGCAATGGACAAGCTGTTCATCGCCATGGAAGAAACTATACCTTGAGGCTATTCTTGGGAACCTGTGATGGAGCTCCTTGTCTTGGCTTCAGGCAAGTTCGTACCCATGAAACTGCGGCGGATGGTCGCGGGATGCATTCTGGGTCAGGCTGAACTGTTTAAGAACGAGGAATCCTTTCAGCACTTTATGTGCGATAGTAGTGGCCCGATGCAGGAACTCTTGTGTCCGATCTTTGAAATGGACGTGGTACATGACTATCATGTGGTGGCAAATGCCGTCAATTGTTGAAGCCATATTCAAGTTACCCTGGCACTCTAGCTCGGCTGAGGCGTCTGTTGATGGCTGGGAGGCCTACCAACATTGGTGGCGTCAACATCTCAACAGAAGGCGTCTGGGGACTTGAACTATTGGAGGAAGGGCTTTCGGAGGACTGAGTCTTGCATATTACCCAGCCACCTTTTTCATTTGTATGAGAGAGGAAGAAGTAGCATATAAACCACTCCTGTGCCCGCCAAGTTCGTAGTTAATTTTACATCTCGTGTCAACCCCTCAGAGCAGCATCTTTTATTCCCCTTCAATATGATTCCTCTTCAAGACAGACTCCGCATGCAGAAGTACGACGTTTCTCATGAAATTTGCTTTATAGAACCTGCTAACTCCGGACAGAGCGCGCGAAAGCGGCGAGTTCACTGACTTCGCCTTCGTCTGCGAGGGACAAACAATCAACGTCCACAAGATCATCATCTGCGGCCAGTCCACGGTTTTCCAGAGAGCATGCACTGGGAAGTTCAAGGTACCGGCTGCCGCCAAGTACACCTACATGCCCGCTAATAAGGCCCAGGAAGCTTCCTCCGGGATATATGACATGAACGACCATCCTCTTGATGTCGTAAACAGAATGGTTGAATACCTGTATACTGGAACCTATGAGATTCCAGAGGATGCCGAATTGTTCACTCATGCCTCCATGTTCACATTGGCTGACAAGTATGGCATTGGCGGGCTGCAAGCGCTCGCGAGCAAGAAATACTTGGAGTGCTTGGATGAAAGCTGCAACTGGCACGACTTCACCAGTTCAATCTCGCAAGTTTACGAGCTCCCCAGGGAAACTTCAAAGACCCTTCGGGTCGGAGCCCTCATGATGGCTAGAGAACACTTGGGGACCGCACTGACCGCAATCGAACTGGGAAATGTTATTGACGAATTCCTGTACGACTGCCCAGAGTTTGCGAAAGACCTTCTCAGCCTCTCTCTGAGATTTTCACTAATGGGTACCTGCCGCAACCCAACTTGCATGTCGAAAAGTGCGGTTCCGATTGAGGTCCTACAAGGTAGATGCCAGAAATGTGGCAAGGGGGGCGCCAGCCCCGGACTCGGTCTCCATTTCTGGAGTAAGATGTTGGAATATGAGTTGGATGTGGATGAGCATGTTAAACTAGGAAAAAATGCGTACAATAAGTGGTACATTTGAGGAGACAATGATGTAAAGCCCCTATGGACAAGGTTATTGTAAGAACATGAGTTCACCACATATGGAATGATCCTCTTCCCTGATGGTTGACTGGATGAGCTGGCCACTTTTGATCACATTCAACGCTTATGCTCTCAACAATAAGTCAGTGACTGGAAGGTTGAAGGATGCCTGTTCAAAATTTGTGAAAAGGGTTCTCTCAATTTACACTTTCCGAATTTCTGGTCAAGCTTTGACGGAGCCACCGTACTGAGAATGGTGATCCAATGATCATGTTAATTAATGGTTAAACTTTAGCACATAATTAACTACCGTGTTCTCATTCATCACCTGTATTCGTAGCCTAAAGCTTAACCTCATGGGCAGCAGGCAACTACATAGTACATGGTCAGTCTTTTCAAAAAGAGAGGTATATTTAAGAAGTCTACCAAGAAATAACTTTATTCATCTTTCTTATAAATACCCTTCAATCCTCTCTCCCTCACCAAACCCACCATCAATCCATCATGAATATCGAGGAACGGAAGCTGATGCACACGTAAGTTGTTTTCACATTCCGTCCAATCTCAACTAACATCTCCAGGGCCCAAAAAGCTGGTCAGTTCACAGACTTTGCTTTTCTCTGCAAAGGCACAAAGATTCCCGTGCACAAAGTCATAATATGTGCACAATCCAAAGTTTTTAATGCCGCCTGTACCAGTGGTTTGAAGGTAAGGAAGTGGAAGAAGCTACAGCGACAATATGCTGATCGTTCTATAGGAATCCACATCTGGAGTGTATGACTTGAGCGAATACCCCCTGGAATTCGTCGAAAGGATGGTCGACCACCTCTACGTCGGGCGCTACGAAGATCCGAATCCAGATGCGTCCAAACTACCCCTTTCGACGCATCTGTTGATGCTGGTCTTGGCAGACAAGTATGTCATCCAAGGCCTTGAATCGGAGGCTAAAGCTTCGTATATCCGCCGACTAAAGCAGAAGAATGTTGAATTGGAGGACTTTCTCGAATCGCTTCCGGTTCTGTACGAGGTGCCTGTCGAGGTCTCCAGGGATGCTATCGATGCGGCCGTCGCCCACACGAGGGAGGTGGTGCTGACTTGCATATGTAGGAAGGCAAGCATGGGAGTGATCGACCAGATATCTGACGCTAGTCAGGACTTCCTGAAGGAGGTGATGATGTCCATCATGACTACTCCTCTGGGGTCTAGATGCAGTGATTGCAGCAAACTGGATCACCTATCAAAGAGCTCTCAGGAATTGCAACGTTCTCATGCAAGCCAAACACATAATCTTGATGCTGGCGGCTTTTTCTCACCTGGCCCTGGAACAAATGCTCCTAGTACTGCCAGATCTTTTGCACCTACTTATGATTTGGCCCCTTCTGCGGCTAGCTTTTGGTATTAAGTGCGATACAATAGTCAGCCATCGGCAAGACTGTTAGCAACTAGATCTGAGAGAAGTTGTCCTGAGCTCCTTTACATCTTGAAGCTCCTATACCTTATCTATAATCGAATATACGTAGCTTAAGCAAGATTTCAAAAGTTCTGGTCATAAATCATGCAAAGACTCAACTCGACTCCCTGAATCTCTGCTGATGCCAAGTAACGACAAGCATGGGCTTCATCATGCTACACGTAGAGATAGAGATGCTACCTCTCTCGTATTACCAACAGGATTGCTCTTAGAGCTCGCTCGTAATCCATGTGAAGAGGAGGACTCGCAGCTGCAGGTACGGAACTACACAGAAGTTTCAAACAGTCTCGGTTACCGATAAGCTCCCGTTTATACGTCATCTAATAATGTAGATTTTAAATCACAGATAGCATGCGCAAATGAACATAGTTCTGCTGCTCCGGCAGGACCAATCTCAGGTTCAAGTTATAAAAGAAGCTCGGAAACCGAAAGCAGCGCGAAGATTCACGTCTTATCGCCAGGGGTTCAAGGCGAAAAAGGGAGATTTATGCTTTGCGTCGTAAGACGTACGTTCAAAGAAGCTTTAAATCAATAAACATATGAATCAAATGGCTACTATATGTTATAAGCTTTGGTGGATTAAAAGTCTTTTTCGTTATGAGTTTTTTCCGACACGTACAAGGGGCATGCATCTCCAATCAGGCCAAAAAGAAAGTCTGAAGCCACAGCGTCGTTAAATATATAATTCTGGATTATACGAAGTTTCTGAAACATATACTTTGCCAATATGGTGTCGTTTGCAAAACCTGCTCTACTGACCCAGCTATAAATATCACACTGTCATTCATGTATTCATAAAATCCTGACACGCTGAATAATCCTACATCATAACTAGAAATCACCAAACTTGATCAAAAATGGATGACGAAAGCGAAAACGAAAACTTTCGAAAGAGTCTTTGGCAGTATGGTCCCCCTCGAGTACTATCTATCAGAACAGCTTACTAATTCTTGTCCCAGAACCAGACACAACCAAGAATTCACAGACTTTACATTCACCTGTGGAGCTTCCCAATTCCCAGTCCATAAGGTCATCGTCTGCAGTCAATCAAAGGTCTTCCATAGAGCATGCACCGGGCAGTTCGAGGTTAGTCTACATTTCATCCTGATGGACATTGCTAACATGACGCAGGAGTCTTCCACGAACACATTCAATCTGTCTGAGTTTTCTGATGATCATGTACAGTGGCTTATAGACTTCCTTTACACAGGAACATACCCCATGGAAACCTCCAAGGCTCAAACTCTCGCCGACCACACTTACATGTTCGCCATGGGTGACATGTACAGAATTGAACCACTCGCTCAATATGCAGCGACTAAATTTCGTACCGGAATTTCCCACGGCCTGAACTTGGAAGAAGTTCTCCCTTTGATCCCCCAGGTTTATAGCTCGACCCCAGAGCATAGACAGGAACTACGGAAAATGGTGGTGAAGTTCATGATATCTCCGGCTCATGGGAAAAAGCAGGCAATAGAGGAGAGAGAATGGTATGACGACATGGCTCAGCAGTGTCCCGAGTTCATCAAGGACCTGTTTTTCACTTGCATGGAACGGTCCAGTTCTCGAGCGATGTTTTTTCATTGATATGAGTCTAGGTCTGCTGGCGGTATACTGAAACGATTTGATGGAAATGGAAGTGGGGGCAGAAATTTACAAAGAAGGGTATAAAGTGAATTGCAAATTTTGATGTAGCAAATATGGTTACTATACATAAAAAAGAAAGTCGATATATGACACAAGTAGTGTTCAAAAAGAAACTTTTAGGACCGAGCGTGGATCGAACACGCGACCTAGGGATCTGCAATCCCTCGCTCGTACCACTGAGCTATCGATCCTTGATAATGAGCTGGAGTGCTCGTTGGATGAGGGTAGCGAGAGAACATGCGACATTATGTTCGGAACATGGTGAATGTTCAGTCGAATCAAGTCATCATTACTGGAACATGGAGATTGATCGAGTAATTGAAGGCATCCCTTAACCCTCTTTGTTTGACGCCTGGCCATTGCGAAACACGGGCCATCTCTGGCCCGTCTTATCAAAACACACGATAAGCTACGCAGGCTTCGACTAATTCAATTGATTGACGCGCTGCCCTGGTCTCCAGGTTCATCGGAAAAGCGCAAAATGTGCTGCGAGCTTCCTTATCAAGACTAGAGCTGATCCTCGACGGATTGAGATGCCGTGGAAGCGGGGTAAAAGATAAGTCGAGACAGGACCTTTTGCAAGACCTTTTGCGACTTACCCTGCTGAGCTCGTTGTCGTCATTTCCGCGAAGATTACATAACCATCCCCGGCCACCAGTTCACCGTCTGACAATTCATAGCCTTTTTTAAAGTCTGGACTCAACTTCTTCGCCAAAAGATAGTACAACAATGGGCTTCCTAAAAACGGCATTGCTTCTAGCGGGAGCTTCTCTTGGGGCTTTTGCCTCGCAGATACCACTCGAGGACACAGACTCGCCTCAAGCGTCCACGTTCCAAGTTCACCAAAGCTCGCTATTTCCAGAGCATACTATCCGCATCAGGGAGCAGGTTGACGACTCCATATGCGATGCCCGCGTGAAGCAGTACACCGGCTGGCTTGATGTGGGCAACCAGCATCTTTTCTTCTGGTACTTCGAGAGCAAGAATGCACCGAAAACAGATCCTCTTGTGCTCTGGCTAACTGGAGGCCCCGGCGGTTCCTCAATGCTGGGTTTACTTCAAGAGCTTGGACCGTGTCTGATCAACGAGCATGGTAATGGGACGGTTCATAATCCTTATGGATGGAATGAGAATGCGAACTATATCTTTGTCGACCAGCCTGCCAGTGTTGGCTTCTCGTATTTGGATGACGGAGAGCCGATTCCGTCAAACTCGTTCGTCGCTGCTGAGAGTATGCATAAGTTCTTACAGCTCTTTGTGAGCCAAGTATTCCCGGACCTCGCTGACAAGCCCTTCCATATTTCGGGAGAGAGTTACGGAGTAGGTGACCCGGCCTTCTCTGTTACGTGACCTGACTGATTCTCTAGGGCCATTATATCCCTGTCCTGGGAGCGACTATCATTGCACAGAACAGTCTCTATCCTAAGCGACCCCAAGTCAACCTAGAGTCAGTTCTCATTGGTAACGGTTACGTCTCCCCTCTGGACACACACTTCGGATACTGGGAGACACTCTGCACCACGAACCCGGGAGTTGACAAGCCTGTGTTCAACAGCACACGCTGTGATATTATGGCTGCAAACCTCCCACGATGTCTTGACCTCGCACGGGTTTGTTATGAGCATCCCGACCATGCTATCTGCGGCGCTGCTGGTCAAGTTTGCTGGGATGGAGTCATCAGTTGGTACGATGGAGAATCTGGTGCAGGCGGCAACAGGAACAGATTCGACATCACCAGACCCTGCGAATCTGGAGATGACCTGTGCTATAAGCAAGCAGGATTGATTGAGAAGTACCTCAACACACCCAAGGTCTTCGATGCCTTGGGCGTTCCTAGCGCAGTGACGAACTACTCCATTTACGCTATGGATGTAGAAGTCGCATTTAGTCTGGGGTATGACCAAGAGATCAGCACCCAGTCACAGATACTATATCTCCTCGATCACGGCGTCGATGTGCTCATGTATCAAGGAAATTTCGACCTCGCATGCAACACCGCTGGCAACTTGAGATGGAGCAACAGTATGCCTTGGAAAGGACAGCCGGAATATGTTGCGCAACGGCAGAGGTCCTGGGGCGCAGGAGGCGATGAGTTTGGATGGTATAAGGAGGTCAAGATCAAGATGGGCGACACCGATAAGAAAACTACATTCGCTTTTGTTACCGTTGATGGAGCTGGCCATATGGTAAGTGTTTCGATATCAATGAGGATTTGATGCTAACAAGCCGTGACAGGTTCCTCAGGACAAGCCGAAAGAGGGTCTGGAATTAGTGAACAGGTGGTTGAAGAAGCGAACGTTCAACAAATGAGTGAATCTTGGATTGAGTTGCGGGACGTTTTAAGAATGGAAGATTTGACGCTTGATCTCAGTTGAATATTTAGGTCTGTCAGATCTTTGTGGTGTAGAGTGTAGGAGCCTTACGTTTGGGTGAGCCTTTGGCTATAGATTATCTATGGGTGCCAAGTTTGCCCCAAAATCATTTCTCAAGCTTCCAAGGACGCGCCCAGTCACTCTACTTCGATTTCGGTGATTATTCAAGACAAATGCAGGTTGAAGGGAGTTGTTCCCGTCATTTCTCTCCAAGTTCTCGAATGGGGAACCAAATGATGTACTCATGTAGCATGAACACTTCTATACTCACTGTGTATGTCTTGTTGTACTGTGTTCGGTCTCGATCTATGACCGGCGTGGAGTTTATCTAGTAGCTTACGAATAGGACGCGCGATGGAAGTATCATCTGTCCGGTCTAATCGCAGCTTGAATTTACCTTTGAACTAGTGAATGCTTGATGAGAAGAGAAGTATGCCGAAACTCTCATGAACCGAAGTTCCAAAACATAGATGGTTACACAGAATTCTTTTCTAGTTCCGACGGAGGCTTTTATATGCTAGGAAAGCGTGATATGAAGTCGTCGCTGACGTGATGCTGAGAACAACCGTATGATGTCCGTTGAATACGAAAAGAAGGACTACGCTTACAGTAAGACGCGAGAAACTACTTTTTCCCGGCGAGACACGGATGGGGGAGAGATGTGACCTAGTGGTACTGAAAAGTCTGAGTAATGCCGATGTTTTGCACATGTTACAATTGGTTCTCACGAAGGGTAGGTTCTGCATTCATCGAGAGATAATGACAAACAGCGCCTCGTCAGCTTTCTCAGCATCATCGATGTTCAGCTCAAAAGACTTGACTAATCTGGATTACGCAATTATCCCACGTTCTGAGGCTGCTGCAGAAGTACATGTAAGCAATGCTACATTACATCGATTCAAGTTGGGGGCATGTGACACTGAGGCTCAGAGCCGGGCGGGCCAAAAAGCTGTCAATCATGCATACGGATGGTGACATTTGTGCTGATCCTCCATGGCGGGGATGAAACTCCGATAGATCAGTCCAGATTCACTTTTCACCAATTTATTACTCAGGTGCGGGATAAAGTGTATAATACATCCTTCGCTTTCAAGCTCAAGAGCTGCCGTGGCATCTGGTCAAACTCAGTCGAGATCTAATCAGACGGTTGATTAATAGTGTAAAAATAGGCTTGTTCCGAGGTTAGTTCCAGGTCATGCTCTCAAACCCATCAGGTGCGCGACGCAAAGTCTCGTATCGATAGCACCATCTCTGCATGTCTTGGTTCTCTACACCCTCATCCGCCTCCGCCATTCTCGAGTCCCGAGGCCACTTGTACTCCCCCAAACTATTCAGACGGAGCATTACCATTTTCTGGTCACTCATGTCAGACTTGAGTCGGGCTATGCAATTGGTTAATTTTAAGCTTAGCTAAAGCAAAGGGCCGAAGCCATCGGCGGGCTGAGCTTATTCTTGGCTTGGGCTGGAGTATCCGTCATAGAACGGTTTGGCTTAGTGAGATTCGAGAGCCTGCCGCAAAGCTGAACTTTTGGGACCAACATATTACGCAACAATGGATGCAACTCTCGCAATCAGATCAGCAAAGGATACGAGAAGGATCGAGTCCTTCCATCCTGCATTCCTCAAGCCAAGACCAGATTGACAACGCAGACCTCGTGAGGAAGGGCAAAGGCGGTGGCACAGCTGACCTCTACTTCTTTTCAGCCCCAGAGCCCGGTTCCTTGGGTATGACAGGTATAACCTGCGGGGTAAAACTGGTCTTGGGGGCTGACCCCTCCACCCGCGATCGAGGCCTCAGCCCTGACACTTTGGGGATAGCTTCAAATTGCGCAGCAGCTAGCGCTGATCTTAACCTTGCGTGATCCAGGCGCAGCAGCTCCCAAGTTCTCGTGGAAGCTCGGGGCACCCGAAAATAGTAGCTTTTTGCTAATTGACGTAGGGCATGACATGACCTCTTGTCGGCCGTCGAGGTCAAGCTCAGCCTTACCAGAGACTAAGTTTGGGTGTTGGAGTGAGGTATCCCGCTATAGCGCCAGCCACCACCATCTGCGGGAGGTGAGCCCACGATCTAGGCGATGCTGTCAAAGTTTGAAGCAAGCGGCATACGATTGTGTATATAAACAGCGTTTGATTCCCTTCATTCAATTAATTTTATCATTCTCATCATCATCTCTTCTACAGCAATCACAACAACCTTCGCTACAACACCGTCGCTTCCACTACAACTTCAGCTTCAATCGCTTCTACTACAATTTTCTTAACAACCCTTCTTTACATATAAACTTTCATCTCTCAACATGCGCTACTCATACACTCTTATCGCCTTTGCCGCTACGGCTCTGGCTCTGCCCACTGCGATGCCCGCCGATGACGGTTCATGGGCTCCTGGTATGTTTGCCTGATTCCATCATCCAGTCTCATACTAACAGCTTCAGGTAAATACGAGGGCGGTGACACTGGCAAGGACGACGGCAAGTGGGCTCCTGGTAAGCTTTTACAGTCTCTCCAACAACTCGCCATACTAACCACTACCAGGCAAGTATGAGGGCCCTGGCACCGGGTTTGACGATGGTCAATACCACCCTGGCAAGGACGGCAAGAAGGCCAAGCGCTACGATGACGGTAGCTGGCATGAGGGTAAATACGAGGGCAAGCCAGGAACCAAGTACGACGATGGCAAATGGTATCCCGGCAAATACCCCGGCGGCAAGGAGAAGCGCAACGACGACGGATCCTGGCACGAGGGGAAGTATGAGGGTGGCAAGACTGGCTACGATGACGGCAAATGGTACCCTGGAAAGTACCCTGGCGGAAAGGCCAAGCGCAACGACGATGGTAGCTGGCATCCCGGCAAGTATGAGGGAAAGCCAGGTACCAAGTATGATGATGGAAAGTGGTATCCCGGAAAGTATCCTGGTGGCAAGGAGAAGCGTGAGGATGATGGAAGCTGGCACGAGGGCAAATACGAGGGCGGTGACACTGGCCGTGACGATGGCAAGTGGGAAGAGGGTGAGTCTCAGTATCTACGACTGACAAAAGCTGCAAGACTAACAAGTTCAAGGCAAATATGAAGGTCCCGGCACTGGTTTCGACGATGGCCAATACCACCCTGACAAGGCCAAGCGCAATGACGATGGCAGCTGGCACGAGGGAAAATACGAGGGCGGCAAGACTGGTTACGATGATGGAAAGTGGTACCCTGGAAAGTACCCCGGCAAGGAGTAAAAGTGTTATTAAACATTTAGATGGGTTTTGGAGTTTGGGACTGAGCTACCGGGTTCGGCATTTGCATATTTCTGGCATCATACATTCTTTCTTCTTCTTCTGAAAGGCTTCAACTTGCCTGGACTACATATTATTCACATGGGACACTCCTTTTTAATTATTTATACAATTTGGACTTCATAAAACTGTCTTTATGCTCGCTTACAAGCGAAGATGACTGGGCCTCGATTTAGCAAGCGGAGTTGCCTTGCAAAAGATGGCGCCTGAGCCTCAGTAGAAGCGCCCTGACCTCATGGAGTAAGAATGCTTCCATGTCCGGGCAAGCTATGAGACGAATCCGCTAAATCCGCTCCAGAGTAACATGAGTCCTTAAATCATTAAGGCAAGATGTCGCTAGTTGCCTTGCCTTCCGACAGCACCACATATGCTTTTCATCAACACTCCTGGACTGATCTATGAACTGGATGTCCACTGAGCTGCGCTTGTGTGCAGTCCTCTCATTTTTTTTCAAAGGTGTTGTGCAGTGCTTAGTAACCCTGTAGAGTAGGTGTTATCTGTGAAGGATCTGCATTACAGGGATCTGTTAATCCTCCAACCCCGAGCCCCTCATTTACTCTGCTAACCATCGTCTTAACAACAACAATGGCAGAACTTATGATACTCGAACGAACACCTTCACAGCACGTCCACCAGCAGGACCACGATAATGAAACTAGTTATCGTGAACATGACATTGCTGCCGAAGGCCATGCTGCGCGGTCAAATGAACGGCCGGACGTAGAGTACCCAACAGGGATCAGACTCTGGCTGACCATACTCTCTGTGGTCTCCATCCTTGTCCTCGCCAGCATAGACATGAATATAGTTGGTACAGCAGTACCAGCAATCACTGATCACTTTCACACGGTAGCTCACGTCGGCTGGTACTCATCCGCCTTTAGACTCAGTGTCTGTGCTTTCCAATTCATCTTCGGGAAAGCATACAAGCTCTTCTCTGTCAAGCGTGTCTTTCTCCTGTCTAATGCTATCTCCATAGTCGGATCTGTACTTTCAGGCGCTGCTGTCTCGTCAACAATTCTTGTTGTTGGAAGAGCTGTCGCTGGACTGGGATCCGCAGGACTGTTCGCTGGCTCATTCATCATCATCGCTCAATCAACACCTCTCCGTCGACGGCCTGCTTTCCTTGGTGTTCTGGGGGCTGCTGAGGGTCTTGCTACCATCGCTGCGCCGTTGCTTGGTGGTGCGCTTCAGACCCTGAGCTGGCGATGGTGCTTCTACATCAGCGCGCCCACTGGTGCCGTGACGGTTATTCTTACCATATTTTGCCTGTCGGATGATCAAAAGTCCAGTGAAGTTAATGGACTGTCTTTGAAGCAGAAGGTGGCTCAGCTTGACATTGTCAGCAAAATGTTGCTCCTTCCGGCGCTTGCAAGCCTTTTCCTCGCGCTTTCATGGGCGGGTACTGTTTATCCATGGAGTAGCGGTCAGGTGATTGGACCTCTACTTGCATTCGCTGGTCTCCTTGCAGTGTTTATCTGGAATCAAATCCGCCGAGGCGATGTCGCTGCACTTCCGCCTCGCATCATGAAGCATCGCTGCGTGATAGCGGGGTTCATCTTCATATTCTGCGTCAATAGCACAGGCGTCGTGCTGGAGTACTATTTGCCCACCTACTATCAGCTTGTTCGCGGATACACGCCCGTCAAGAGCGGCTACATGATGTTACCCATCATCATCGCGGCAACAGTCGGTTCACTCATCCATGGAGCGGGGACAAGCGCATTAGGCTACTACACACCTTTCATGCTCTTTGCATCCATTATCATGCCAATTGCTGCAGGTCTTATCACCACATTCAAGATTGATACCAGTTTCGAAAAGCTTATCGCTTACTCGGCGCTTTCAGGTCTGGCCTACGGTATTGGGTTCATCGGCCCCCAAACAGCTGTACAGACAGTTCTCCCAGCCGAAGACGTCCCGCTTGGCCTATCTATCATGCTGTTTGCTCAATCTTTCGGCCCCGCTATATCAGTGCCCATTGCCCAGGTGCTCTTCACAAACCGACTTTCAGATAACCTCGATGGTGTCGTACCGGGTTTCAATGGAACGGAAATCAGCAACAGCGGCCTTACCGAGATGGTCACCAATATGCCAGAGTCTGTCACAAGAGAGGTCCTGGTTGCAATCGATAGAAGCCTTGGGCAGACATGGTATCTTGTAGCAGGGCTGGCTTCGTTTGCAATAGTTGGAAGCCTGATGACGGAATGGAGATCAGTCAAGGAGAAACGCGAATGAAATCACATAGAGGTCTGCTGGCTGCTCTGCGGCCTTGTAGCCTTGAATGCGGGATGGACCGGTTTATGTTTACCCTCCCACTATGAGCAACTTTTGTTTCAGAAAACTGCCATTATCAAGGGTCCTGCGAGTGGGAAGCATATAGGATGGCGAGCTGACAATTTTCATCAGATGGGCTACTGACTTCGACATTACCATGGCTGTATAATAGAGACTGGACTAAGATTGTCTTTGCTACCGCCTACCCTTTCAAAAAGCATATATTGGCCATTTTAATCCGCATGTGAAGCGACGATGTCAGCTACCTTTTCAGTCTGACTCAACTGCACCATGTGTCCGGCACCAATCCTCACGATCTCGCTTCCTGCCAGACGCGCAAACCTTTCCTGCAGCTCAGCAGGTAGTATCTTATCCCCGTCACAGATGATGTAAACACTTGGAACTTCTCTCCATCTGCAATACTGAAGCTTGGTCGCCCAGCCTCTGTCGGCCTGATGTTGAAGACCCGGAAGCCACTTGTTGACCTCTTCATCTGAGAAGTCGCTATAGAGCAAGTTTCTGGGATCTTTGCAAGACTGCGTACCGTTTGACTCCTAGGGACAAGTCAGGAATATGGGCGTGGGAAGGAAATGGAAGGTCTCACATGATAGTCAAAGAAATCCATTGGTCCTTGTTCGAATCCCTCAGGCGCGACACCAGCTGCGATGAAGACGATTTTCTTGACTCCTCCAGTCCTTCCAACATCTTGTCTAGCTTTGCAAGTTAGGCCCTTGAGGGCACCACTCCCAATGAAACCGCCTGCAGAGTGCATGACAGCAACGACTCCTTCTTCACCTGCTTCCTCGACGACAGGGGTAAGGTCCTTGACAATTTTTGCAATATCATCATCCATGGTCGGTCTTTCTGGAGGAGTCTTGCCGGTGCTGTAAATAGTCGTGATCGCCGTTTTGAGGCCTCGTCTATTAAGGCTGTCGGCGAGAGGTTGGAAGACCGTGGGGCCTTCATAGAACCCAGGAACGATAAAGATTGTAGGAGACATCACAAAGCGTGAGTCTGATTTATGCTAGAAAGTATTGTCTCTCATAATAATCCTGATCGTATTCTCTTATATGTCTCCAGGTCTTGCTATTCTGACATAAGCTCCAATTCGTTAGTCTGCGACCGAATAACATACGTGGCGTTGATGCACTTTCACATTCATTCGCTAGATTCGCCAAGTCACATCGAGATCATAAATATTGGAGCGGCACATAATGATCAATATGTCTCAGATACAGGCTTTTAGTCGACTGGCCCTTGCTGCATCATCCTCAATCTAGGTTCTCTCGGCTGGATTAAGCTCTCATCCATAAGTCTCAGCGGCAAATACCACTTCAAGCTCACAACTTAGACATTATACCAAGATGTCTGACCAATTGCTACAGCATAAGGCTGATAAGAGGAAAACCTAGATAATGACTCTTTGGTCGGCCTTGGAGGCGTATAAGAAGGTGCCTCCAATCCCCCATCATCCTCGATCAGAACGAAACCGACGGTACTTAAGAACAATTGATCCCCTTGTTCTCCAAAACCGTCACTTCCGGTTGGCCCCCAACCACACGGCATAATCGGCTCTCGGCACCATCCAATACGTACTCGAGAATACCAACGGTCAGCTGGATTACAAGAGATGCCATTCGTCTGCCATTGATTGTCCCTAAAGCAGCTTGCACCTTGTCCCTCGAGCCCTCTAGAACATTTCTCAAACTCACAAGCAATGGCGCATCCAAGAATGACTAATGCGTTATACCATCAATCTGCAGCATCATGCCTGGTCCACGCTGGCTATTCCAAGTTTCATTCCACGATGGACCCTGATCGCGGGAGTGAGGCCTTCCAATGAGGAAGAGGGGTTTGTCAAGACCGGCTTTGACGACAGGACCAAGCATGTCGCCATCAAGATTTATGACGCCCTGGATGCGGAGATCACTAAATAATGTCGACACGACAGTGGCTCCCCCAATTGAGTGACCAAAAACAAAGACGCTGCCAGTCTGAGATAATCCAAACAGCTCACTTGTTGTGACGTTATCTTGGATTTGGTCGATAACGAACATAATGTCTTGCGATCGAACCTGCATGTCAATCGATGTTAGCAATTGCTTCTTAATCGAGCTTTCAGCCGCTCACTTTCGCTGATATTTCCAGAACGGTCTTATTCGCTTCGCCAACGACGTCAGTTGTGTCAGTCCCATCTGGATACTCGATGATCGAGGCGTCGTAAGCATGGTCAACTGTGATCACAATGTAGCCATGACTTGCTAACGACCTCGCCATGGCACTGTACATGAGCCTTGACACGCCCCGACCCGGGGAGAATATGACGACTGAAAGTTTGGTTCCATTCTTTAGAGCGTGTTTTTGGAGTCGGTTTATATCAGGGAGTCGACAAAACTTCAGCTGCAAGTCCTCAAAAACTCCAGATGGCAGACCCATGGCTTCGGCTTGTCGTCCAAATACGTCTCCAGTTTTGGGAGGCATATACGGAACGTTGACCTCTCCATGCGGGCAAGAGTTTTCCTGGGTATCGACGGGCGCAAAAGTCGAGATCAAAACACGGCGCTTCTGCGGGATATCTATTGGAGCGTATGGATCCCATCTGGATTCATCAACGAGAGTTTTAATGTTCAATCCAACGCTATAGGGCCCCGAAGATACTAGTGGGATCAATAGCCCGGTAGATACGGCACTTAAGCCAGCCATCACACTCGCGAGGTGCGTGCTAAGTCGCATATTGTATTCTCGGCTTGAATGGGGCAGAGAAACAGATGACGAAGCTGCAAGGTTGAAGAGATTGACCGTGCGTTATAAGACAGAGACAGCATATATAAGCCAGCACGGAAGCCGTGGGGGGTCCATGTCGCCCCTCTCATGTGGCCTCGTATGATTACCATCCTTCAGGGTTTTTACGAAGAGAATGGAGACAGTCAAGGGACCCCTACGACTTGAACCATGAACAATGGCACAATGAATGTCGTTTGGTGGATCTCGCTTCTGCGCTTACGTGAGGCCAAGGTCCCATTGACAGATCGATCGGGTTCGCTTGAGACGCGAATGTGAAGGAGTGCTTCCAAAGATATATATACTCTTTATTCCATTCGTGAGCTGGACGAAGGTACTATCCTTTGCCTATTCTTAGTTATTATTTTTGTTGTTCGGCATAAAAATAAGTGCTCAAACAGTAATACGTCCTTGTGGCTTGACTGGAGTGTGATTTGGTGTAACAAGACATTGGACTGGTTGAAGTGACAGTTACAGGGGAAAACTACAGAACTTTGAGCGGCTCCAGTGAGTGACCGACTCCGTGCTATCCATTCCAGAGAATAACTCCGAAAGCTTGTTCGAGGGATTTTCTATTAGTACCGTCCACATGCATGTTGAAAAAGTCAAGTTCAGCTCACACGTCTCGTAAACAACCCCAACACACATATGTGTGACCTTCTTTCACTGGATTCTCTTTAGCCGAGTTCCCATGACCAAACCCTCCATCCCTTTCTGTTCCTTCATGCTCTGTCTCCCATCCATTCTCATCGTTTCTGCGCTTAGATTCTCCAACAGAATTTTTGTATCTCGCATCTCAGTGCTGTGAAGGGAAAGAGAACTTCCACTGAAAGTGGAAGGAAATCTAAATCATCTTTTACTGGAAACCACTGGCGACCTCCAAGTCTCAGCTCCAGCTGACTGTCTGCCTAACTGACCTCTCCTGGAAAGATCAGCTTTGCCTCGTTCGAAAAAAGACACAACCCTTTCTCAACCTTCCCACCTCCCCTAGCTTAGGTCGATGGCTTCCCTGCAGTCCGCCTACTCTTCCTAAATGTTAAGAAGGCCTTGCGTGATCTCTTCTGCTTTGGTGGTGAGTTCTTCAGATGGGTCCAGTATGAGCCCGACTTTGGCAGTGGTAGATGGGTCCTGGTTTTGAGGACGGCCATTAAGATTAGATACCATCTTGAATGTACGAAGAAGCTCGACTTTGTCTCGGCGACATATTCGTATGCTAGCCGTTGAAGAGAGGGGTCTCTAGCTGCTGCAGACGAGCATTCCAAGTTTCCAACATTTGCGACATCTGCCTCGACGGCACTTGATCCTTTCCTTCTATTTTTAACCCTTGAAATTGAAAACACGGCCCTGTTTCCATAGGGCGCATCACTCATCTGTGTCTTTGTTCTTGCAATACACACAGCTCCACCCATCACCACATCGTCGTCGCACTAGAGTGAAATTCCTTGGCAGCGATTCAAGGACCATGATACTCCTGTATCACGACACGAGCTTTAGGCTATTGAAGATATTTATAGAGATTCAAAGGTCAGATTGTCTGTTCACACAAATCCATGGCTTCTTCGTCACCAGCTTTCAACGAGACCACATGTTCCTTGACCTAGAGGATCCTCAGCTCTGGCAGTAGTTGGTTGGCAGAAACGTTTGTTGAACTTGGAAACTCACCACCTGGCGGCAAAGCATCGCGTGCCTCCCAAGTGATGTAAGCCCCTGTATTTTCCAAAGTACTTTTTTATAACCCTTGTGGCTGATCAGCCTTGCCTCAGCCTCAGAACCTAGCAGATACCCCCTGTAACCTTTGAGCAGCGGACCTTCCTCCCCTAGTTCACTGTTCCGGCTGCTAATGTTGGTGTAGAGACAAGGTCCTTTGATCTGAAACTAGGGTAGGGTTTATCTTTTTGGGTGCGTTCAATCTTGAGTAACGGGGATCTAGCGAAGGGGTCTTGGTTCTTACAAGAACTTCTCGCAGCAATACCCAGCTGATTCGCGCCTGTCGGATTCGTGTTGTTGTAATCCTCAGGCCAGCTCGTTGCTCCCTCAGTGGCCTGGCGTTTGAGAACCGCCACCCAGGGCTGTGTTTCTGATTGGGAGCTCTATGGCTCATCATTAGCGGCAGAAGGATCTAGAGTGAGTCACACTGTTGTAATATCTTTCGGCTATGCCCCTAGTTAGCAGCCAGTCATTCAACAAGATGAACCCTTAGTGTAGCTTGGCAGCCAGGATTAACTGTACTTTAGCTACATTCAACGCCACCATTTTCAGGTCAGGGGTTTTTGAGACTAGCAGCTGCGGCTGAGCCAAAAACGTTGGGGTCTTGGATAGGTCAAGAGGAAAAGGGTGTAAAATGATTTGCATTCCTCCATCGGCTGAACGTCATGATGAGATTAAAATTGGATCAGCGACCTGCTGGCGTTGTTGTCAACTTTGGAAATCAGCATCCGGTTTCTCTTGCAGGATTTAAAGGCGTGAAACCCTTCTTTGTTCTGTATCCACGTTTGACCTTTTTCTTCGGTCTGCTTCACCACCACGGGCACAGATAATTCGGTGCACTGCAGCAGGTTACTCTTGAGCTGGAATTTCCGTGGATACATTTAGTCGTTTATGGTTTTGTGAGGCGTTCATTTGGGTGCAACCGGCTTTCTTGAGCTTAGCAACGCCTAGTCAGTCTGGACCTGTCTGGCATTTATGACGTGTCTTTTTTTCCCTCCCATTTCCAAGGCCACCCTGGGCTTTCCAATTGCCAGAAGCCAACACTCCTTTACTGGCGTCTATCTGTGCTCTTCGCTTGCTATCTTCTCGATATGTGGAATGTCAGTGGCCAAGATGTGAGCCGTACTCTTCCGCTAAAGGAAACCACTGCCCTCTTAATCGCTTCCATTCCTGTCCCTTTTCCAACTTCGAAAAACGCGACATTCTTTTCATTTAGCTTCCACCTAAGCTTCTATCACCTGTTTGTTTGGTCTCGTTCCTCAAGCACATTCAATCTAACTCAACAGGCCAGATCTCAGGGTGATTGCCCCACCGGCGGAACCGATGCCAGAGCCTTCTCGGCTGAGTATGGATTCACGGGGCAGTACAGGTAGCGGCGTCACTGAGCATGATACTCAGCCCTCTGTCCGTCAAAACCGCCCCCGTTGGCCGGGACACGTATTGTATTGCGACTGCGTTATTTGCGACAAGTTAAATGAGCCTTATAGCCCTTAGTGTGGTTAGACACTCATAATGCGACGGTACTGAATATGGTTGCTGAACTGAGCCTACACTGGACGTTTTGTTGGCGCTGAAAACTATGTACTTGTATCTCGATATCTAGATTAAGTAGCTACTTCTTGTAAGAAAGACCTTTTGCTGAGTGGATAGAACTATTGCTGATAGGATTTGTTTAAGTATTCCCCAATGGTCTGTATCTTGATGCCTGATGCATTTACTTGTCTTTGTCATAGACTCAATGCCAAATATGCCATGGTCTACGTCGCAAGGATAAAAAGCTTCGGCTTTAACGACAGTCGTATCTCTAAGGAAGGCTTACAATAGTCTCTATTGCTACGCGTCATAATTGGCTGCATCTCGCATCACTATATTGGATTTATAGCAAATGCATATTTATCAATCACTATTTAACTTAACTATCTTTCAACAGTTCTACTGTCACTAAAACGGCCCAACACTGGAGTCAATTCCAAAAATATGTTTTGGCAGCCGTCTCAAGGCTCAAAGTATTGTCGCCTTTGGTGTTGACCCTGGTGCTCGGGGAACATAGTGGCATAGAATTCAGTCCATCCACCCATTCTGACCCGTAGAAGATTGTACTTTTCCGGATCTTTCACGGCCTCTTCATAGGTTTTCACGTTTGCACAAGTGAGAGTGATCAGGTTTCCACCAACTGTGCCCTGCGCGTAGTGCTTGACGAACTTTTTCAAGTCTTCAAGCGGAAAGGTTTCATCAATATTCATGTCCACAGGCGACGCATTCGAAAGCCCGTACGTCACAGCGTCGGATTTGTAACTCTCCATGGCTTGGTATATATTTCTGAAGGCAGGATTGGGAGGGAGGTCTTGTGCAGCTGGGACAGGGGAAAGGTCAGATGCAATGGGCATGCCATTACGGCGACCATCGGCTGAGGCACCGCAAGGCGCGCCATCGCCGACATAACCTTCAAAGGTGCCGATGCCAGGAGTGATAACGAACTTTATGTCTCGGCCCTGGTGCCTTTCAGCGATCTCCCGTTTCTGCGTATCCAGAGCTGGAGATTTGAACTTATCGACACAGAGTCTCACGAGATTCTCAATGAGCCAGTCTCCAAGACGGTTCACCTCCTCATCACCGCTCCCCCATTTTGGCAATGCGAGTGCCATAGCTCTCAGTTGTTGGTATCGCACGCCATACTGGGCCGCACTAGCAGCGCCAAGGTGACGATCCTGGAAAGGTTCAATCATGTTGAAGCCCCAGTCACTGATGAGACAGTCGACAAGTTCAGGAAGCGTAGTCATTGCCGTGTCTTCATCATACACCAGCTTCTGTATAGCAAACAGCGAATCAATAGTATTGGAGACTCCAATGCATAGTGGTGCCATGATGTGAAAGCGTGCACCGCCATCGGTCAGGTCGATGCCGTTTTCAACACATCCATCAATCAAGACAGACAGTAGAGGGCTCGGGCATATATCAGCGAGATTCCCATAGTTCTCCAACATGACATTATAGCACTGAATAACAAGCCATTCCAGTTGTTCCAGGAAGATGTCTTGAAGCTGCTTGAACGTCTTGATCTTGTGAGCCGGCATTGATCGAAAGGTTTGCTTCAGCCCACGAAGACTCTCGGGGCCAGCAGCACCATAGGTCGCTCCTTGGTTAATTGTTTGTTCCAGAGCAAGCATAGGCTGAACATTGTTGAAGGCAAACTCCGATGCTCCCGCGAACATGGGTTCGTAGCAGCCATCAGCAGCATAATTCCTTGACCAAGCTGTGCTAACAAGGTTGGGATCCGAATCTCTTAAGCCCTTGCAGAGTTTGTCGTCATTATAGAGAATTGGTTGTGCACCTCCAGCAAGGATCGCCTTGGCAGCTTCATCCAAATACTCTTCCGGTATGTCCTTGTAAACACGGAGTGACAGAGTAGGAGCATTGACGGGTATACGCCGTGAAGCCTTGAGACACAACATTGTGACCTCATTGGCGCCGCCTTCTGGAGTATCACTGTCTGTAGCCTTGTAACCACCGACAGTGACTTGCTGAACCCACTGATTGATGCCACCTCCCTGGGGAAAGTTGCCGCCCACGCCACAGACAGCTGTGGTTCCATATGATACATAGTCGTAGATAAAGGCACGATTGACGAAGGCGTTCTCTCCAATCTTCAGCCAGAGACAGTCCACAATCTCTTGGGCACGGCCCAAAGAGATACTGTCCTTCTCCAAGAATGGCCAAAGGATCTGGTCCAGGCGGCCCAGTGCAGTCAATTCGCCGACTAGATGCAGGCAACAGTGCATGGAAAATACCAGCTGCACTGCATCTTGGAAGTCTCTCGGCGGGTGATCGACGAGATGTGCCAATCGCTTGGAGACATTTTCCATGTTGGCCTTGTCATCTTCGTTTGAGGCGTGAGCAGCTGCATTTTGTGCCAGGATTGTCCAGTTGCGCAGGTAGCCTTGCACTCCTTTGATAGACAAGAGAGCAGAATGGAAGAAGGACTTGTTCTTGGCTTGGCTGGCATTGTCAGTTTTGACTTGTAGCTCGGTGTGGAGTTCCCCCAAGCCCTTTTGAACGAGGCGCTCATAGTCTGGAACTACATGACCCATAGCTGACCACTCATTGAGTGAACCTTTGAGCCAAGCATCAATAGTCTCCTCCTTCGACAGGTATGGGATAACCTCTTTTCCGCGGCCCAGAGTAAAATCCGGAATCACACCAACGATGAGCTCTTTGGGATCAATGCGAAGCAAGCCGTTGAAGCGAGCTGTTTTGGACTCTGGGTCCGAGAGTGACAGTGTGAGTGTCTTGAGATTTGCGAGACCTTTACGGACTGGGACAGGCTCACTCATGACTTTGGCTTTGTCTTCCTTGGTGTTATAAAAGTGAGTAAGCGCAGGAAGTCTTGGGAAGTTCTGCTTATCCATCCAGCCATCGCGCCAGTGGGAGAATGTCCTTCCAAGCAAGCTCAGGAGCCGATCGTTGGGAGGATCGCCGCCGATGTAGCGACCCTGAGACATCTGATGAAGGTAGTCCTGGGAGTTATAAAAGAGATAGCCATTGGGGCTTCTGACGTCCCAGTGTGAATCTTCCATTACATCATCGAGACTTGTCACAGCAGGGACGCCCAGTTCATTTGCAGCAGGAACATACCAGTAACCACCGCTATGAGCCTTGACAACATCCATCAATCTATCGAGTGGATTCTCTGGCTCATGGCCCAATAGATGTTTGAGAATGTGCTCGAAGCGGGGTTGTTCATTGCAAAACGCAACAAACATGAGTCCCTTCTCACGGCCAGCGTGACCTCCACTGTTACCAAACGACAGTGCTTGACGCAGAATCTTTCGCTGGTCCTGGTTCTTGTCTCTGATATGGGCTCGATGAATGTGCGAGTGAGTCGCATGCTGAGGCAGGGAAGCGCCATCTGGGTTGCGACCAACCATCTCATCCTCAGTATCTCCACTTTGAGTGACAATGCGAGGCCAGTCGAAGGTGAACTTTTGAGTAAAGGCAAAGCTAGCACCGCGATACTCTTCTGGGCTGCTGATGAGAACATCTTCAGCCAGGCTGACGGGATCATTAGGATTAGTGATGCCATCAACGTAACGCCCGCCGCCAACGCGAATATCCTTTCGTTTACCGGCCACGACCTTGTCAATGGTCATGGAGATAGCTTCAAGGCGTTTCTCAACTGTGTTCACAATCTTAGCCGCCAGGTCCTTGGATGTGGCCTTGATATAAAGGACAACATCGCCGCCGGTATTGCGAAACTTGATCTTGCGGTCAAGAATCTCTGTGTGAATGGGTATATCACGTCCACTCCACGAGCCCCAAAGTTCAGGACAAAAGGCAGCTACAAGGCCGCATTTGGTGTAATTGTTTGCAATATCTTGTGCAAGGCTTCGCACAATGTCGAGGATTGCCTTCTTCGTTTCTTCATCGTGGCTTTTGAGATGAATAGTTAGAACTTGGCCAAAGGAGGCTGGCAGAGGCAAGCCACGCTGGGCGCCAAATAGAATCTCTTTAATGCCCATGACTAGTAATATAGTGTTTCTTATAGATAACCAGAAGTAGCAATAGATGTAAGCATATTTTGGGCTGATTATCAGCTACTGCCTTTCTTCTTATATGTCTACAAAGCTTCAATCACTCTATTATCCAGAATCAACCGATACTAACGGGCATGGAATATCATGCAGGTTGCTCTTCTTGGTCGTTCAGCTAGCCACGGAGGACACGCTATCCACTGACGTGCATTTAAACTAGACAGAAAGGTCACTAGTTCGCTGACAACTAGCACATGTGCTATTGGTTACCCCAGACTGCCAAGCATGGCTTGAGGGAAGATCCCTGGTGTATATCAGTTTTTCGCTGACTTGCTTTTCTATCGTGAAAGACGTCCCAGAGAATAGGTTGTTCAAGATTTTTAAAAATTATAAACAGATACGAATTACGGATTGGGGCATCGATTGTATGAAAGAAAAAGATTCTGGGTTTGCAGGGGCAACATTCAGAAACGGCACGTATCCTCAATGCATCACATAAGCCGAGCTGAAACAATAATCGTCATCATGGGGAAGGAATCAACCCCGCAAATGGTCGCCACTGACATGTATGTCTCACAATTGAGGCCAGGCGGTGTGATAAGAAGCATTCTGCGGACTTGTCCCGGGCTTATTCTGCAATACGGACGTAAATCCGAATGGCATGTTTAGAAAGGTGCAGAGGGACATGTACCAAGTATCCAAAGGAATACACTGTATAATGTTGTGGCTTGAGACTATTGAATACGCAGATGCGAGGGATTCCGCGGAAAGTCAATCTTCCGGTTTGCAAAGCTGGGATCCTCAATGATCATCCGGAAGCCTTCCTGCTTCTCTTCACTGTGTATTTTCTGGGTAGGCTTTGAATCGTGTCAACTAAGGCCAATTTAGCTTATTAGCCATGTCAAATCAGCCTATCTACAGAGCAATTGCATCAGTCTCGGCATCCAGTTGGGGGGGGGGGGAAGTCAATTCCTTTTAGCACCTTGCAAATTGGTTATTTGCTGTCGTATCGCTGAGTTACAGCGCTTATAGAAGTGGTGCTATATCCGATTTGCTTTGCGCAACATGTTATCACGGACTTGAATAGAATGTGGCTCTTGTACTCGATGTCGAATGTCCATCTACGACAATCTTCTGATAAGCGATTGCTGTCACTTCGGGGCATTTCAAACGCTACTGACTCATCAGTCGACAACCTTAACTGGCATGCTAAGATACCCAGAGATTTATTATGCGAGAGATGACTTTCATCGGACTCGGTTGACCAGTAAGACGAGTCTGTCAAGGCTGGCAAGGTCTCTTTTCCCATCTGCCATCCCAGCAGCTTCATTCAAGAGACGATTTGTTGTACTTCAACGCCCGGAAAAAGATGATTTTCAGCTTGCACTCTGTCGGAGTAACCTACGTCTGTACCGCAACGCCAACTGGTTGCTTGGGCCTCGAGCAACAAGCTACACAACCAATGGGCGAGGTCGTCCCAAATCAAGGTTTTGAATGCAAGCATGCATTCACATCTATACAGTCTTTGATAGGTCCATTAATAGTAGAATTTGTGACAAAAAAAGCTTGACGGCTCCCTGGCCCGAATCGCGCAGGATGCAAGTTGAACAAAAACAGCAAAAGTCCGGATCCGAATCTACCAACCTCATGAGCAAGTCGGAACAAGAGGAATTTGCAGCAATTGCGACACTTGAATGCCCGTCCATCGCATTAATCGTCATGTCGAATCCCAGAAGTTTACCAGTTCTACCATCCAGGACAGAGTGACAGCAGGAACAGGAGGTACTTGTCACATGTTTCCGCGCCAGCCCCACTAACTCACGCCCACCAAACCTTGGTGCGAATTTGTTAAGGACAATTGGACACGATTTTGCAGCAGCGCAACAGACTTTGCGACGTGGCGTGCTCAAAAAAGAGTTTCAATTATTGATTGTAAGTATAAAAAGGGAGACAGGCACTTGCCTGTCTTTGTTGCAGTCTCAGAATTTCAGTTCACATTAAGAACGGCCAACTTTAGAGGTTAGGTCATTTCAGTTTGATCCATCGAATTTTGTATTCATCACTGACTGCTGTTGGTAAGTGGTTGAGCATTTGCAACTTAAGTACCCTTCTCGTCTTCATGTTCTTGGGCAGGTGGGGGAGTGTTGTTGTCGTTCCTTCCCTTCTTTGTTGTCGCTCTGAGGGAGGTGGAGTTGACGCTCCGGGCTATCACGTGCGATCACCATCTGAAGATGCTACCAGCCACTGCACCGCCTTCGAGAACGCCACGCCATGAGCATGCATTCAGTTTGACGGTTCGATAATTTGCGACTCTTGAGCTCACTCGTTTCAATCTTCTTCTTATGCAACACCCGACTCTTTACTCCTGATCAGCAATAAAGATGTACGGAAGAAATGGACTAATAGGAACCAGGAAACGATGCAATCCTTGTATTGGCAAGAGGCTCGAACTGGGGGGTGACGTATCTTCCTGATCCAAAGATACAGTCAATAACACAAAGTGCTCTGAAGTCAAAAGTGAACGATGATGATACTGCAAGACCTACGCGACTCTCGATGGCTTATGTCTTGAGAAATGCCAAGGTTTCAGACTGAGTTTGGGGACACACAGAGCAGCGCTGCAAGGCTCGCTGTCACCGCACTTATCTGTAAATTAAAAAGCATGTTTATTTCTTAGAATTAGTTGTGGCCAAAATCCAAAGCTTATCCCACCCTGCCTATAAAAACGTCTTCACCGCCCAGGGCAGACCTGGAATATTTCTTATCATCAATGAACGCCCACTTTTGAAGCGCTTATTCATTTCAAGGCTTGACCAGCCTAGCTCGTTGGTTTTCCTTCGATGTCTTAAATCCCACGGGGACTGTTGCGGACTGGGGGCATGACCCTAAAAGGGCATTTATGGGGGTTTGTGAGAAATCACACATGATCCCTTTTGATCCTTCGATGTTACGAGCGATGATGTTGCTGTCGTAACCGCATCATTGTCAGTGTCGTGAGCCTGAGTGGTGCGAACGGCTCAGCCTGAGCTCAGATGTATCGTTTTTAGAACTGGGGGCACAGACGAACCATAATGCTCGTCATGCGGGTTTTCAATACCCCTCAAGTGTAGTATCTGTAACACATGAACAATGATGATACTATCTCGCGCTAAGGTTAGTTGCTCGACACCAAGTGTGTTGGGATGGAGCGCATCAGTCTGAGTTCAATACAGGATGCTATGAAGTTCGGCTGAGAGAAACTCACTTTCAGCTAAGGCGCGTGGTACTCTGAGGGAGTAGAAGACCAAGTGGTACTTCACCTGTCCTCCAAAGTTGGGGCCAAACATGATCAGTGTTCTTTCTTGCGATTACACGATATACCTTTGACTCAATCTTTTATGGCCTCTGCATCTATAAATCCTTTTAGATCTCTTACTACATAAAGTCACTATTTTATCACACCCCGCATTTATATACTCTAGGTAGGATAGATAGATCCCTAGAAATGTGTAATCGAATCGTCTAGCGCGTCACTATCACTAGCTGGTATTGTATGACGTAGGTCTTCTGGGAAAATCCAGTTCTGGACTCTAAACTGAAACAAAGTCCAACATTCGACACGAAACATCACTGCATTATGATGAAAGCAATCCAGATCAAGGAGTTTAACACGCCCTATACCGTCTCCGATGTGGACAGGCCAAAGCCAAAGCCTCATCAACTACTCATCCGGATCAAAGCTGGCGGGTTTTGTCACACTGATTGCATGGCCCTTGAGAATGCTTTTGGTTCAAAACTACCGTTCATTGGGTCACATGAGCCAGCCGGTGTTGTTGTTGAAGTTGGATCTGATGCCCAAGGGTTTGCGGAGGGAGATCGAGTTGGATGTCTCAACTTTGACAGCTGCTGCGGTAGGGTATTCTCTCATGCGCCAGGATATGTACTTATATGACGACAGGACGCTGTCCCGACTGTAAGGCTGGGAGGCCGATTTACTGCGATAATCCAAGTATGAAAGGCATCACGACGGATGGCGCATGGGCGGAATACATGGCAGCGTGAGTCCTTCTCTTCACGTCATGGACGCACATCATGCTTCACTACGCTTACTATTCTTAGCGACCCTCGATTTACTGTGAAACTCCCAGACTCACTTGACTTTCCCACTGCAGCCTGCATGATGTGTGCTGGCATCACTGTGTACGGAGGCATCAAGAGAGCTCAAGTCCCATCTGGTGGCTCGATTGGTATCGTGGGCATTGGTGGACTTGGTCATATCGGAACTCAAGTTGCCAAAGCAATGGTAAATCAGTTCCTTGCGAAACACTTCGTACACTAATACGAGTATGCATAGGGATACCAAGTCGCTGCGATTGATACCAAGCAAGATGCCCTGGCCCTCGTATCATCTTACGATCTGAAACCCGACATCTGCATCTTATCGACCGATCCAGCTGAAAATTCCATGGAGCAGATCACCAACGTTATACAAGGTGACTACCCTGGCCTCGACGCCACGGTGATCGCAACCGATGCTCCCGCCGCGTTTGATCTTGCGGCGAAACTGACGCGGAAGCACGGAACTATGGTTCTTCTTGGTCAACCTGAAAATGGCATTACTTTGTCTTATCAGAACGTCATCTTTCGTGATATCAAGCTAGTTGGCTCCCTTGTTGCGGACACTGATGAAACGGAGGAGCTCTTGGATCTAGTCGTAAAACATGATATCAAGGTCAAGATCAAGGAATGGAAGCCTGAAGATGCTGAGAAAATGAGACAAGAATATTTGGCTGGTGGGAACAGCGGTAAGAATGTCATAGTATTCTAGCCCAATTTTGCAACATTAATTGGTCTTTATGGCCTTTTAGGTCAATTTTACATTGTGAAAAAGGATATTGCGTCCTCGGCGTATCTGTTAGCAAGCAGCCTGAAGTCAACCTTTGAGCCAGCTGTGACAAGGTTAGGAAGTTGAAAGAAGCTTCAAGCCCCATGGCGCAAATGTAAAGAGCACCAATAGATGCATACGGTCAAAATACTCGTTGCCCTCACTGATACCTAAAATCTTGCTTTTGGCTGAAAAGTTAGATGTCCTGATGACTGACTTGGAGCCCGCAATCAGCGATGTATTTGTTATCTCGACAATTCCAACTCTTTTTCAATCCGATCACGAGCTGCCATCCAATCTGTCTATCAAAGTCAAAGCACAAACTAAGCTTCAACAGATCTCCCATCATGCCAGATAGACTCATGATCGCAGATGCGACCCTTAAAAACCTACCCATTATTAGCTCCGAACACGAGTACGTCAATCATCGCATACGCGCATCGCAATTAAACATCCAATCTTTTTCGCATTCACTCGGTTCTTCTTTTCGCAAAATTATTTCGGACCCCCGCGGGCGGCGTCATGGTCCCATACGTGAGTCGATGATCACCAGATTTCACGGCCACAAAACCATAAGACAAATTTATCGTTTAAATGACAGACTTTTTCCATTTTATTTCCGAAACCATATAAATTTGTATCCCACGCAAATTCCCCTTCTACTCTGCATCAATTAGGAAAAGTCGATATGGCAGCGAAACTATGCTCAAAACGATATCAAGAACAAACTTCCGTAAAGCAATGGCTTATCGATAACCAATTCGGTAAATATACGAAAACAAACCATCCCACTCGGCGCCCGTTTCCACAATACTGACTTTGTTAGGCATATGCCTCGGTATTCTAGCCCCTCTGCTGATCGCGCAATACAACAGTCTTACACGTACCCTCACCGCCAAGCTCACGTCGCTCTCGTACCGAGACGAGTTCACGGGGGAGTACAATGTCGGATTCGATGACAATTATTTCGTGGTCGTTCTGATCGCGGTGTTGACGGGTCTGCGGGATGCTACTATGCGGTTCGTTCTGGACCCGTTGGCGGCCGCCTGGGGACTGGGGAGGGCTAGATCCATGCGGTTCAAGGAACAGGCTTGGATGGTGGTTTACTATGCCACTTCCTGGTCTGTTGGTACGGTATGATTGAGGTCTCCGCCAATTACATGAGGTTTCTAACTGATGTCGGCAGTACATCTATGCATCGTCGTCGTATTGGTTAGATCTTGAGGCTATGTGGACGAAATGGCCGAATCGCGAAATATCCAGCCTCATGAAGATTTACATGCTGGCACAATTGGCTTTCTGGCTTCAGCAAATGGTTGTCATCAACATTGAGAAGCGGCGCAAGGATCACTGGCAGATGCTCTCTCATCACGTCGTTACAATTGCTCTGGTGTACTGCTCGTATCGATATGGCCTCACCCCCGTCGGCAATGTTGTTCTGATCCTCATGGACTTCAACGACTTAGTTTTCTCCATCGCGAAGTGCCTGAAGTACATGAAGCTACAGTCTTTGTGCGACTTCATGTTCGGCGCGTTCGTTGTAAGCTGGGTGCTGTGCCGCCACATTGCGTTCCCGATGGTATGCTGGTCTGTTTACGCGCATGCTTGGGCTCCCACGCGGAGCTGCTTCATTGGCTCAGGCGAGAACATCATTGGTCCTCTGGAGGTTCCGGCAAACGGCTACTTCTATGTGCTTGAGCCATTGATCTACACCAATGGGAGAGTATGCTACGACTACATTATCAAAATGCTATTCACGAGCGGACTTCTGTTTCTGGAGGCACTCATGCTTGTGTGGTTTGTCATGATTGTCAAATTGGTCATTCGGGTGTTGCGTGGTGGAAATGCAGAAGATACGCGCAGCGATAATGAAGAAGAGGAACTCGAGGAGGATCTACCGATCAAGGTCGAGGTTGATGCCGAGGTACTCCAATTCCCGAAGAAATGTCCATCGGGAGGGAGAGGTACATCTTCTGTCTTTCAATCGGCGAGGGGAATGGCTATTTCAAAGGATAAAAAAGGCTGTCTGGATAGAATCGGGTGCGAACAGAGGATATCACGATAAGCGATATCTTAATTGGGATAGATCAGGTACTGAGAGAAGGATGTACCCTGGAGCTAGATGCGGGACATACCGTACAGACTAATGTTTAATACTAATGATGGAAACTCTAATGAACGACATACGATGAGTATGGCTATATTGCAGTATTATTATGATGCTGCCGACGATGCCGAAGAGAAGAATAACTGTCGGACCGAAGATATGTCGATTTTCAATTACCGCAACATCATGCCGAGATGCTATGATCGCTATCCCGCGACTATCCTTCAATTGAGGGTATTCGGAGCATGTCACTTCCCCTCAGAGCATTTTAAGCTCTACGGTTTAGGGTAAGGCCTAACCCGTCCGTCATACGAGTGCAACGCGTCGTGGCTCCATGTCAAGCTGTATACTTGCCGCTACCCGTACTCAAACCAAAACCATCGTGAGACGAGCGAATAGAAGCAAAGACTACTGACGAAAACTGTAAACTCTGAAGACATTCAGAACGCTTGCAATAACCGGAAAAAGTTTAGCGCTCAGCGATTCCAAGGTCAACGTCGTCAACAGTGGCGAAGCGAGAGCGCTATAACCCCTGCTCCCCTGCCCTCGCGTGATGATGTTTCTCCCCCCGCACAATTCACCTCTGCCCTGTTTAGCTTACCTCGACTGCCTAATTTACTCCGCATGATTCCAAATCAATTGTCTGGACCTGCACGATTACGGTATGTCCATTCACGGCACTGCTCAAAAGGACATCCATGGAAAGCTTGCTACTGCAGCAGCAGCAGCAAAGATCCTATGAAATGGCAGGCAATAGTAATGCAGGTACCCAAATGCGCGCAGAGCTAATAATAGAGTTTCTGCTAAGGTCGGTTAAGAAATCGCACGAATTGATTCACCGTTTTGTGGCTGGGATCGTGATTATTTGTTTATGCAGGGTCGCGGCTCTGTTGAGAAAGTTGCATTCCTGCGGCTGCGCCATGTCGATGCAGAAAGGAAGAGGAACTTGCGTCTTTGCAGCTTCTTCTTCGAGAGGGGAAAACCGTTGAATCCTACTGATAAATCGATGATAAAGGCCTGGGATCAGGGATGGGGACGGCCGGGCGAAATTGCCACTGCGTAGCGAGGACCAATGGGCTCGCAAAGCGGGATGTGACATTCTAGATAGAGTTGCCGCTGCATGGAACCCCAAGAATTCGTTGTTCTGAGCGTGATATTGGATGGTCTACAGGATCGATCACAAGGGAATTGCTACGCTGGGATCAGACCATTTGACCTGCGGGATTTGTGAAGCCAAGATGTCGGCTGCAGAAGGGCATTGCTATTATTAGCAAAAAAGTCTTGGTAGATGGGATGAGCATGCAGAATTTAATTGCTTTGTTGGTGATGACTTGTTGAGAATTGTATGGCCCAAAGGTTCGGGTACATGGATCGACCGGACCCAGAATGCGACCGCAGTTTGTGACTGCGTATGCTTATTTTGCTGGTCTGTTGTGATGATAAATGAGCCAAGCAACAAGCTGTGCGAATCAAAGGGCGAATAGTTACTGCTGACGACCGAGCAACGGGCAGGGATGAGATTGAGCTTATTGTCAGTAAGCCCGAGCCCTGCGGTCAGATAATTTGCAGACTACAGTAGAGCAGATACACAGAAAAGTCATCTGCATTCGTAAAATACGGGGTTGTACAGCAGACGAGGCCAGCTCAATTTGTCTCGGCTTGCAACGTACTGCACTGTAATCGGGAACTTGGGAAGAGCCCGAGGTGACACTGCACCCGACGATGTTTGCCCTCTAGGACCTTTACTCCGGCCCGCGCTCACGGCATTGATCGTTTACCTAGCTAATCTGTTTCACAATATTCCGATTGGTTGCGGTACGGCAGGGTGAGCAAGAGTGGGTAGTCGGATCATATGTGGGATAATCACCTCTTGGCAGGGCGATTAGAGAATCACTCTGCCCAATCTATCTCCAACAGAGACAGCTCTAGCTTAATCAGCTTCCGCTGAAAATTATAAAGAAAACAACGTGCATAAGGTCAATTCCTCAAGGTAAATGATAAACTCTAAACCATGTGTTTCACTGCTCTTCTCCAAAAGTTTATATTAAGCTACCACCTTCTCAGTATGGACCAAGTCTCACGTAAACCAATAGCAGTCCTGTGATTTACCATCCCTGTCGGCAGTTGGTGCGTGTGATTCAATTGGCATTGCCGCTTATCAGGGATCTTTTCCTTTTCGCGCCCTAGCACCCAAGATTTTGTCCGTCTCCACAAGAACAGAAATCCACGGACGAGACATCTGATTCCAGTATCGTCACCGCCTATCACTATCTGGGAAACAAGCAGGAGGGGTCAGTGACGTTGCTGTGGATTGCACTGCTTAGAAGAGGCAAGAAAAGGCTGGGTTTATCCTTGTGATACCGCAGGCCCTTGATCCATGCGCCAATGGCTAGACTAAGATGCACTGTAACTGAGCCTCGATTGCTAATCCGAGCGTCTGACCTGCTGCATAAGGCCCTATACCACTGACACTGCCGACTTGGCGCTGTAGCAGCCCCTGTAAGATCGTCACTGTAACCTTCTTTTTCTTGCCTCTCGACTGCGGGTACAAAACCAAACGCAAATCCGCCCATTCTTCTAGTCTGTTCGTCTGTCAGTCTCACAACCTCACAGCACAGCACATACTCCTAGCCATGCACGTACAATCTCTTCTGCTGGCTTCTGGCCTCGTGCCTTTGGCCGCTAGCCAGGGCTGCCCCTTTGCCAAGCGCGCCACAGACACTAATCTCGTTCCCCCGAGAGAAATCCCCGAGGACTTTGGCATCTGCCGCGTCGCTAGCAACCAGGCTGGTGGCGGCACTCGATCCAGGGACTTTTGGCCTTGTGCTCTGAGATTGGATGTCTTGAGGCAGTTTTCGCCTCAGTATAACCCATTGGGTGCTGATTTCGACTACACCGAGGCCTTCAAGTCTCTGGACTGTGAGTTTCACCAATTCTGGAACTGAAGACTATTTACTGATTTCTTTTGTAGTTGCTGCTTTGAAGAAGGACCTCAACGCGCTCCTGACTGATTCTCAGGACTGGTGGCCCGCTGACCATGGTAACTATGGTGGTCTCTTTATTCGCATGTCATGGCACAGCGCTGGTACCTACCGCGCAATGGATGGCCGAGGTGGCTCTGGAATGGTTAGTAATGATCTCAATGCCATATTCTCGACTGTTTTGCTGACATCAGCAGGGTCAACAACGATTTGCTCCTCTCGACAGCTGGCCCGACAACCAGAACCTGGACAAGGCCCGTCGTCTGCTCTGTACGTTACGCAGCCGTCACACAAACCCCCGAAATCTAACAAATCACAGGGCCCATCAAGCAAAAGTACGGCAGCAAGATCTCATGGGCTGACTTGATCGTCCTCGCCGGCAACGTCGCCCTCGAGCACAGCGGGTTCGAGACCCTCGGTTTCGCCGGTGGTCGCGCTGACACCTGGGAGGCTGATGAGTCCATCTACTGGGGTGCCGAGTCCACCTTTGTCCCCAAGGGTAACGACGTTCGCTACAACGGTAGCACAGACATTTACGAGCGTGCCGATAAGCTCGAGAAGCCTCTTGGTGCTACGCACTTTGGCCTTATCTACGTTAACCCCGAGGGTCCTGATGGAAGCTCTGACCCCAAGGCTTCAGCTCTTGATATCCGTACTGCTTTTGGCCGTATGGGTATGGACGACGAGGAGACTGCTGCTCTCATCATTGGTGGTCACACCCTGGGCAAGACTCACGGTGCAGTTCCTGCTAAGAACATTGGCCCCGAGCCCATGGCTGCTGATCTTGGAGAGATGGGTCTCGGCTGGCACAACAGCGTCAATGAGGGCAACGGTCCTGATCAGATGACCAGTGGTCTTGAGGTTATCTGGTCCACCACTCCCACAAAGTACGTCCCCCCTGTGCATCTCGGTCTCACTCTTACTAACAAATCCCAGGTGGAGCAACCACTTCCTCAAGTCTCTTCTCGGCAACAACTGGACCCTCGTTGAGAGCCCCGCGGGCCATAAGCAATGGGAGGCTCTCAACGGCAAGCTCGAGTACCCCGATCCCTTCGTCAAGGGCAAGTTCCGCCGTCCCACCATGCTCACCAGCGATCTCGCCCTCATCAACGACCCCTCGTACCTTAAGATCTGTAAGCGCTGGCACGACAACCCCAAGGAGTTGAACGCTGCTTTTGCTCGCGCCTGGTACAAGCTCCTCCACCGTGATCTCGGTCCTGTTTCTCGTTACCTTGGACCCGAGGTTGCGAAGCAGAAGTTCATCTGGCAGGATCCTCTCCCTGAGCGAAAGGGCGACATCATTGGTGAGGCTGAGATCTCCAGTCTCAAGTCCACTATCCTTTCTACCGATGGTCTTGATGTTTCTAAGCTTGTTTCTACTGCTTGGAACTCTGCTTCTACTTTCCGTGGAACTGACAAGCGCGGCGGTGCCAATGGTGCTCGTATTGCCCTTGAGCCCCAGGTCAACTGGGTCAGCAACAACCCCAAGCAGCTCAAGCAGGTCCTCGCTGCTCTGAAGAAGATCCAGAAGGATTTCAACGCCAAGTCCGGCTCCAAGAAGGTCTCTCTCGCTGATCTGATTGTCCTCGGTGGTGTTGCTGCTATTGAGAAGGCCGCTCAGGCTGCTGGCTTCAAGGACGTCGAAGTTCCTTTCACTCCTGGTCGTGTTGACGCTACTCAAAACCAGACTGATCTCGTTCAGTTCGGTTACCTTGAGCCCCTTGCCGATGGGTTCCGTAACTACGGACATGGAACTACCCGTGCTCGCACTGAGGAGATCCTCGTTGACCGCGCTGCTCTCCTTACACTCACTCCTCCTGAGATGACCGTCCTCGTGGGTGGTCTCCGTGCCTTGAACGCCAACTACGACGGTTCTTCCAACGGCATTCTCACTGAGAAGAAGGGCCAGCTCACCAACGACTTCTTCGTCAACCTTCTCTCTCCCGCCTACTCATGGGCCAAGAAGGATAGCCAGGG